GTAACCGCCAGTATTCACACACTAAGAAACAGCTTTACAAAAATGGCAGGAGGAAAGAGATAGTCACAGGTTTCCATTCCACTCTTGCCCTTTAGGTATACACGGGTACTGATGGTTTGAAAGTCTTTTGCAAAAGGAAATAATTTCTGGATCATCCCCGTTTCCTAACTCCATTAAAAACCAAGATGTAAGTGTATCCACTCCCTTTTATATGATCGAGCCAGAAGACATCCCATCCCTCACAGTTTTCTCTTTCTTTTGCTTGATGTGATGAACAATGAGATTGTCAACTAAGGCCTTTGCAGACTTCCAAAAATAGTGCAAATTGAGTCCACTTTAGCTGCCCTAGCTCAGTGCTAGGGAATCATGGGAATTGTATTTTTTTTTTCTGAGACACTGAGACTTCTCTGTCAGAGAGCTCTGGTGCCACAATAAACTACAGTTCCCATGATTCCCTAGCACTTCAGGGCAGTTAAAGTGGACTCAATTTGCACTATTTCTGGCAGTCTGCAAAGGAGTGAGTGCAGAGAGTTGTTTTTTTTTACTTTGCTTTACTGTGTAATATAGGCTGATGATGGACTATAATTACCGTATATTTATAATAATTATAATAATGCTGACGAGAATCAACTGGGATATTTACAAAACTTAGAACAATATTTACATCAATATTACAACTGATCCATCAAACATAAAAGAAAAATGAACTTCCAAGTGTCTAAGTCATAAATTCTACTTTTAGTAGAATTTTCTGTAGTATTTTGTTATTGATATTGTCTGTATATTGTTGGTATATGTGATTGTTATATTTATGTCATTTTTTAAAAAAAATTGTGTTCAATTGTAACTTTGAAGAAAATAAATAAAGAATATTTAAAAATATATTATAACTGATCCAGGCAGCCTCTCCCAAGGGTGCACCTTCTAGATGTCTTGAACCACAGTTCCCATCATCCCCAGTAAGCTTTGGTAGCTGGGGTGATGGACAGTTCAACTCATCTTTGTTGTTATTGTTGTTGTTGTTGCATGCCTCCAAGTCATTTCCTACTTATGGTGACCCTAAGATGTTTTCTTTGCAAGTTTCTTCAGAGGGGGGTTGTCACTGCCTTACTATGAGGCTAAGAGAGTGTGACTTGCCTAAGGTTACCCAATGGGTTTCCATGGCCAAGCTGAGATCTGAATCCTGGTCTCCAGAGTCACAGTCCAACTCTCAAACCACTACACCATGCAGTGTCACAAATATCAGCACTCATCCAGGCAGCCTCTGCCATGGCAGCACCTTCTAGATGTCTTGAACCACAACTCCCATTATCCACAGTCAGCATCAGCATTGCCCTTCGTAGCTGAGGATGATAGGAAATGGCAGTTCAACTCATTTAGAAGGCAACAGGAGGATAAAAGTTGTTCTTGATATGAGAGCGACCAAAAGTATACATTCTGGAGAACTCTTTAGGAACTTACTTGGGTGAACTGATAATCTTGTTCCTCTTCCAAATGTAATTTTGTAAACTCCACCAGAATTATCACAGTGAAATAGAGCTTTGCATAAATGTATCAACTGAGACACACATTATGAGGACTGGAATTCTGTTTTGAGCAGAATTCAGAGAAAGTATTTGTTCAGACTACAACTCCCTACAGAGCCCATCCAGCATGACCAGTGGGGGATTCTGGAAGTTGTAGTCCAAGAAATATTCCCCCCCCCCGACTTCTGGTTTTGAAAACCATCCTATCAAGGCAATCTTTTTACATTCGGATGTGTGAAAGTCAGTGTGGTATAGTAGTTTGAGCATTGGACTGCAACTTAGGAGACCAGAGTTAAAATCCACGATCAGCCATGGAAACCCACTGGGTAACCTTGGGCAAGTCACACTCTCTCAGCCTCAGAGGAAGGCAAGGAAACCCCCCGCGCCGGAATAAATTCTACCAATTCTACCACCTTGGGTCTCTTTCTGGGAGAAAGATGACATAAAAATGAAATGAAATGAAATGAAATGAAATGAAATGAAATAAATAACCAGTAATCTTCCTGAGTGTTTTCAATTGCTTTAAATAAGGCAGTCAAGATTTGCCAATCATGCTTCTCCTTTACCACTGATAGAAGAAGTGGCATATATAGGTGAGATTTAGTTCAAACCTAATATTCTAAATATTGAATTTAAACCTTTTTCCCAACAATTATTTTAAAAAAATTCATCACATACCAGGAATCACAGTCAATCTTGTCCCAGCCCCAAAAGTCAATTTCCAGCTTGTCCCTGAATTCACACAGTGATTCACCCAATGACAAAAAAATGGCAAACACGCTTCTCAAGAACTCCAGCTGCCTAAATTGAGATAGTGGGTTTTTATCGAACTATATCTGATCGAATGATGGCTAGAATAGTCACTGTGCATTTTTGCAGACATTTAAACCTGAATACAACTGTCACAATCTGTACCTTTGCATTTTCTTTCTTTCTCTCTCTCTCTCTCTCTCTCTCTCTCTTTCTGATTTGCTTTCTGTTCCCCAGCTGTACAACATTTGACAACTCAGGACAACACTTTATACCTCTCTTGAAGTGGACTCTAGTCCATGAAACCATGTTGTTGTTGTTGTGTGCCTTCAAGCCGTTTCTGATTTATGGCAACCCTAAGGTGAACCTATCATGGGGGGTTTTTTTGGAGCTGAGAGTGTGTGACTCGCCCGAGGTCACCCAGTTGTTTTCCATGGCCAAACGTGGATTCGAACCCTGGTCTCCATAGTGCTTCAGTACTCAAACCATGCACCATGCTGGCTCTCCATGAAACTTTATTCCATAGTAAATGTATCTTTTGCCTACCTAGCAAAAATATATTCTGCCAACCTAGCAGTTCAAAAGCATGCAAATGTAAGTAGATAAATAGGTACCACTTTGGTGGGAAGGTAAATGGCGTTCTGTGCAATCATGTTGGCTACATGATCACAGAGTAGTATTTGACAATGCTGGCTCTTTGGCTTGGTAAGCGAGATTCGCACCACCTGCTACGGTCGGATATGACTTGATAACCTTGTCAATGGGGAATACCTTTACCTTTACCTAAATGTATCTTTAGGAGCCAATGTGGCATAACGGTTTGAATGTTGGACTATAACTCTGGAAACCAGGGTTCAATTCCCTGCTTGGCCATGAAACCCACAGGGTGACCTTGGGCAAGTCACACACTCTCAGCTTCAGAGGATGGCAATGGCAAACCTCCTCTGAACCAATATTGCCAAGAAAACATCATGTTAGGTTCACCTGTCAGAAATGACTTGAAGGCATACAACAACAAATGAATTTTCATGATGCCAGAAGACTATGTCATTTATGGAAGCTGGGAATATATCGTACACTCACATAGGAGATTATCCCTTGGCTTTTTAAAATGGTTTACCTCTATCCAGCTTAATCTTAATTCGGCAGCATCCTGATTTTATCAGATGTTTTTTGCTGCCAAATTTGCATCCCGAATACAGCCTGGGTCCATCCCTGCTTCCAGAGCTGCTCTTCACGGCCATTTTCTTAAGCCGGAAAACCTGGATCTGAAAAGAGCTGCAAGGAGCACTCCTGGAAGCGGGGATGGACTGAGGCTATATTTGGGCAGCAAATTCAGTGGCAAAAAAGTCTGATAAGATCAGGATGTTGCCTGAATTAAAATTAAGCCAGATAGAGATAAACCGGTTTAAAAAGCAAAGTGATAATCTCCATAGTTATCACTACAATGAAAGTCAACCACATAGGCAGTATATTTGTCCCATTAGATTATCACATGTAATCATGCATGCTACCTATTCTTCATACTTACTTGGCACCACTGTTAGCTTTGTACCTGACCCAATTGTGAATCCGTAGTTGTTATTGCTCACAGTTGTACAGACCTTTACAAAAACTCATTAACTCTGAGCATCGTCATGATTCGAGAGCATTCTCTCAAGTAACAAACTAGAGAACCCAAAACACCTGTCTTGGTGACTCATAGATACGGGCTGCATCCACATTGCAAAATTAGTCCAGTTTGACACCACTTCAAATGCCAAGGCTCAATGCTATGGAAGTCTGGGAATTCTAGTTTGTTGTGGCACCAGAGCTCTCTGAGAGTGAAGGCTAAATGTCTCACTAAACTACAGCCCCCAGCATTCCATAGCATTGAGCCATGGCAGGTAAAGTGGTATAAAACCAGATTATTTCTGCAGTGCAGATGCAGCCATTGAGAGTCCTTCCAGAAGCAGAGCAGATAGGAATGCTATAAATGATGAATGAATAATAGACAGTGGCCAAGAGAATAACATGAACCACAATGTTAGCAGTAGGGTAGGGTAAAGATAGGTTTATAAGATGAAGAGGGTATTTTTTTTTTTTATCATAACAGAAGGGATGAAACCTACTTGGTATAACAAGCAATGTAGTACCTGTTCCAAATATCACTTTACCATTTACAGACCCACACAGTGTTTCCTCTCTTAACAAAATATATTTTCTAGTAAGAGAGCATTTTGCAAAGAACAGCACAGAAAAACAGAAGTGGTGTCTGACCATTTTGAGAAAGAAGCATGGGCCCAATGGACTCCAAAATGCCTGCAGGTGGAGGCATGAGGATATAGTGAATAATAAAAATATAGGGGGGAAATGGGATATGTGCAAGGATTTAAATCATCATTTATTTCCTTCTCATCCATAGGAATGGGGAGGGGGTGTCAAACTTTTTCATCCTTGTTGGACAAGATTACAAGGATGGTGGTTGGTTTTGTTTTGTTTTGCAGATTGTTTTGCAAAATTCATCTATGGTGATGGCACATGTCTTCATGACATCCCTGTTTGGATTACTGCAACACACTCTACTGCCTTTGGAAACTGTGGATAAACCTCAGTGGCTCCAAAATGCTGCAGCCAGACTGCTGGCTGTGGGGTGAGTCCACATTACAGAAATAAAACAGTTTGACACCACTCTAACTACCATGATTCTGTCCTGCAGAATCCTGGGATTTGGAGTTGGGGAGGCACTAGAGCAAGAGCCAGCATGGCATAGTGATTTGAATGCTGGACTATGACTCTGGAGACCAGGATTCGAATCCCTGCTCGGCCATATAACCCACTGAGCAAGTCACACTTTCTCAGCCTCAGAAGACAGCATTGACAAATCCCCTCTGAAGAAATTTGCCAAGAAAACCCCAGGACAGCTACACATTAGGGTCACCATAAGTCAGAAACAGCTTGAAAGCATACAACAACAGCAACAAGGAGACAACAGAGCACTCCTGACAGACCAGGCTGAATTTCTACCAAACTACAAATCCCAGGACTCCAAAGGATGACACCATGACAGTTATAGTGATAGGATTCAGCTTTATTTCTGCAGTGTGGCAGAGCTGGGGATCTGTTTACAGGGAAGAATTATCTCGCTTGTTACAATAGCTTCATTGGTTTCTAGTCTGTTTCCAGACACATTTCAAGGTGCTGGCTGTGATCTATAAAGCCCTATACAGCTTGGGTCCAGACTATTTGAAAAACAATATTTCCCTAAACAAACCTCCCTAAATTTTGATGTCTTCAAGGAAAGACATTCCCTCAGATAAGGTCATAGGAGAGGACCTCCTTGGTGGCTGCTCCCAGACTTTGGAACTCCCTCCCACAAGAAGCTAGGCCCTCTTTGCTCTTCTTCTGCCAGAAGGCAAATGCCATTTTATTTTGCTATCCTTTTGGCTATTAACTGGTTGCTACAGAACAATATTTTAATTCAGGGTGCTGTACTTTTGTCCCCACTCTTCTGGGGTTCCTTTTAAACAATTTTATATCAATGCTGTTTTAATAGGACAGTTTATTTAATTGTGGTTTTTTTACTACTATAATAGTTTTTCAGCCATATTTTGTTTCAATCTATTTCATGAGCCACCTTGTGTCTCTGTTAGAAGAGATGCAGGATAAAAAAATCAAGAAAGAATTTTATGATTTCTGACATTTTGGACAGTCATTCTTAAAGCATCAACAGAAAAACTTGTGTGCCAAAAAAATGAGTTTTGTGCAAAACAATCTTATAGTGATTGGATTCTTTTTTTCCAAGGTGTCAAGATACCCTTTCTTGTCAATGTCAATAGCCCTGAAAATGTTATTATCAGCTTTGATCTGAATGACTTACTTGGAACAACTCTCAGACTTGTCCCATCTCCAAATGTAATTTTATCAGCGCCACTTCCATAGTTCCACAGTGAAACAAGCTACTACATAAACTATCATTTGTGATCCTTATTACCCACTATGACTAAAGCTGGATGTTCAGAAAACTTCACTACATTTACAAAAATGTTTATTTTGGCCGGTATTTTTGTCTTCCTACTGAAATCCCCTACGATGAATTAATTCTTGCTTTCCACAAACTAAAATTACAGAAGAACCACTTGCTCCAAATGTGTTTCCTTTGTTTCCTTTGTTGCTGTCCTTTTTATTATTTATTTGTTACATTTGTACCCTGTTTTTCCTCCAAGCAAAACAAGGTGATCACGTTTGTGCCCTCTTTAATTTTAACAACCACCTTGTGGGGTCAATTTGGCTAAGAGTGACTGTCTCATAGGATGCAACTGCACTGCAGAAATAATACAGTTTGACGCCACTTTGACTGCCATGGCTCAATGCTATGGAATTCTAGGATTGGTAGTTTGGGAAACTATTTAACCTTCTCTGTTGGAGAGCTCAGGTGCCACAACAAACTACAGTTCCCAGGATTTCATAGGATGGAGTCATGACAGTTAAAGTGATACCAAACTGCATTAATTCTGCAGTGCAGATGCAGCCATAGTTACTTAAAAGGAATACAGACTGGCCAAAAGGGCTAGACTATCGATGGAGTTGGGGTATGGCGACTGCACGGCAGCCTCCCCAGCTCCACCCCGATGCTGCTGTCACGCCGTGTGCCCCACCGTACGGCGGGCGGCATCAGGGCGCTCCCTTGCCGTAGCATTTATACACACTGCGCCAAAGGAGCACGGCAAAGCCACCACCTCTGTTGCAAGGGCAGCTCTTTGCTACTCTATAAAGGAATGACATTTACCAGATCTTTTTAGAGCAGCAAATTGCCAAATTGGGGCCGCAGCATCCCACCGCCCCTTTCCTTGCCAGATTGCGGCCACGGCAACCACACTTCACAGCCCTAATCGGGCTTCATTGACCTTCATTGCTAAGAAGGATTTGAACCCCCAGGACTTCTGAATCCTACTCCAACATTGTAGCCACTACACCGTGCTGTCTCTATCATTGGAAGGCCTTGAAACCTATTTTAAAAGTGAATTGTAGCCCCTGGAGGCTTCCAGAAGCAGCAGTTCACCTTCAGGTTTGGCCAGGAAAAAGCCAGTCTGGGGATTCTGGAGTTTCAAGAGTCACAGAAATATTTTTGGGAGGCTCATGTGACACCCCTCCTCCCAAGATATTGTTTTAGGGGGCGCAGGGTAGGTGGTGCAAGATGATGATGATGATATTGATGATGATTACACTTTATTTATATAGTGCTGTAGATTTACACAGCGCTATACATACAGTCAATAAAATAGATAAAAATAGATAAATGCACAGCTCTGTTTTCCAATGGCAACAAATGGCCAAGGAGTTGAGATGGAATAGCTAAGAAGTTGCCATTGCTGTCCACCTAAGCATCTGCCACTGGAGATGACCACCTCAAGGTGAAGCCATCCATGATTTTCATCCTAACTCAGGAGCCTTGCACAGTTAATTCCCTTGGGACAATTGCAAAATCACACACTTATCTTCTCCTTCGTTCCTTATGACATGCATTAGGGAAAGCATGAGTACTTCTTCTTCTCAAGCACACCATGAAATGTGTCACCGCACACAGGCAGGGCAAGCAGAACCATTCGACAATCCAACAAATATTTGCACAGCCAACTTACTTGGTGCTACGTTCAACCTTGTACCAGACCCAAAGGTGAATTTGTAGTTGTCATAGCTCACACAGCCATGCAGCTCCTTACAAAAAGAGCTCCTTGCCAGCTCAAGACATTGGCAGGAATTCTGGAAAGCCATTCAGATTATCCACTCATTCAGTATCTAGCCAACATACCAGCTCCAAAGAAATGTTTCCTGCAATAGCCTGAGAACTTCATAAATTATTTTTTTTCTACCATTCCTCCTACCTGGTTTCACTTCCAACTTTGATCCACCTCCAAATATAGGCTTCCAATTTCCACCATTCACACAGTAGTATGGTCCTCTACAAAAACAGCATCAACCACAGTGTGGGTGGGCAACATGTGCCCCTCCGGCTATTGTAGTACTCCAACTCCCATCCACCCAAATTACAACCCAACACATTCTAGGGAGACACATGCTCTCTCTCCTTGAACCAGGATTATTGGGGGAGAGTGGATGTTCTTGATTTCTTGTAGGAAACTAGGGGTGCTTCTACACTGTAGAAATAATGCTGTTTGACACTGCTTTAAGTGCTGTAGCTCCATCCTATAGAATCCTGGGTCTTTAGCCTTCTCTGTCAAAGAGTGCTGGTGCTTCACTAAACTACAGATCCCAGGATTCCATAGGCTGAAGCCATGGCAGGTAAAGTGGTATCAAACTGCATTATTTCTACAGTACAGATTCACCCTCTGAAGCTATTGTTTGCTGTTGAGTCCCAGCTCTTCGACATTGAAGAAATAAAGATATGTGACACCACTTTAACTCCCATGGCTCCATCCTATAGAATCCTATGATTTGGAGTTTGGGGAGGTATTCAGCCTGGTCTGTCAGAACACTGGTGCCTCAGGAAACTACAAATCCCAGGATTCTGTAGGAAAGAGCAATGACAGTTAAAGTAGTTTCAAACTACATTATCTTATTTTTCTGCGTATAAGACTACTTTTTTACCTGCAAAATCTGTGGCTAAAGTGGGGGGGGTCGTCTTATACGCCGGATATAAGGATAATGAGGATAGAGATGCTAAAACTCTATATTTTGACTGGAAAAAATGGGGGGGGTCGTCTTATACGCGGGTCGTCTTATACGCCGGAAAATACGGTATTTTAACTTCAGTTAAAATGAAGTCAGACTGCTGTATTTCTGCAATATGGATATACTCCTCCACTCATTCAATATTTGCAACTGTTATTTGATTCACTATCAGGTGAGAGCTATGCACATACCTAGAAATGAATCGATTAATTCAGTGGGACTTAGTTTTGCACAGACAGACTGTACCCTAAGATTACAATGATATGTATATTTATCCAGGACAAATTTCATTTCAGTGCAGTACACCTTACTTCTGTGTAGGCATATGCAGAATTACCAGAATGTAAATATTTGTTTAAATCATTATTGCACACAAGTACTTTTAATTTCAAAAATGTTCTCTCTGTTGGTGAGATTATGAGAATGTTTGCTTATGTTCTGGCCAACTTTCCAAAAACAAAAAAAAATTGCTTTTTTTATACAAAAACCTTTTTTTTTTTCCCTTGGACAACTAATTTCTTCAGAAAAGAACTCCTGAAATGTGAAGATCTCACAGCATTTGAACATTTTCTTCACCTGTCAAGACAACATTTTCCCATTCTTTTAAGGAAGAGACAATGTACGAATATTCTTGACATTCCTAAAGTTCAGGTTGCACAATTTTGTAAAGGAGGGCCTAGAGGGATTTCAGGGTTGGTGTAGTGTAGTGGTTTGAATGTTGGACTGCGACCTTGGAGACCCGGGTTCAATTCCCAGCTAAGTCATGAAACCCACTGGGTGACCTTGGGCAAGTCACACTCTCTCAGCCTCAGAGGAAGGCAATGGCAAACCTCTGAACAAATCTTGCCCCAAGAAATCCCCATGATAGGTTCACCTTAGGGTTGCCATAAGGCAGAAAATATTTGAAAGCATGCAACAACAAATAGGGAGAGGCCACCACTTTGTGGGATAGGAACTCACACTCTACTGAACCTTCAAATAAACCAGTTTTCACTGTAAATATAAGCCGTATTTTTCAGTTAGAATGATCTGAGAGATAAGATTTAGATTTGATTCTTTTCGAGAAACCCACATTGTTGCTGTTTAGAATGGCTCACCTGGATAAACTCTCAGATGTGTCCCATGTCCAAATGTAAGTTTCTCAGTGCTACTACACCATGAAACAGACCTTTGCATAAACCGTAGACACCGCTTTAGGGAGCGGGGTTTCTCCAAACAATTTGGATTTCAGTCCTAAACATACTCATTAGATCAGGGCTGGACAACCATCAGGACTCAGAGACCACGTTGGATCCCCGGGGACCTTGGACACTTTCACCCCTTGCTCCCCACTCATCTCCCCCTCTTCTTTTTCGCAAAATGCTATTGAAATTTCAAATGGAGGCAAAGGGCCAATTTCATCATGAAATTTTTGAAGCCTAAGAGAGGCCTCTTCTAGGCAGCTGCCACAGTGCAGAATTAATGCAGTTTTACACCACTTTTCATTGCCATGGCTCAATGCTACGGACTCCTGAGATTTGTAGTTTGCTGTGGCACCAGAGTTCTGGGACCACCAGTCCCAGAATGAAATATTTGCCAAGAGGGAGAAAAATGAAGCATAATATTAGGGAAATGGGTAGGGTGAAGTTTGACCAAGAGCTGGGAGGAAAAGGGTGCAAAATCATACGTCAGATATTTGTGCATTGTGCAGAGGAGGAAAATTGAGAATGAAACCAATGCAGATCAGGTCCAGGTTATACAGTGGACTATACAGTATCCACTAGGGTTTGGTTCCAGGATCCTCCATGGGTACCAAAAGTCGTGGATGCTCAAGTCCCATTACATATAATGGCATAGTAAAATGGTGCCCATTAGATAAAATGGCAAAATTGGGACTTATATATTTTTGAAAATATTTTCAAGCTGTGGACGGTTGAATCCATGGATAAAGAATCCATGGATAGATTCTATAGCTAGGACCATATTCTCCCTCATGAACCTCCCTGTGTTTTGAGATCTGCTGGGGAGATCCTTCTTTCTGTCCTACCACCCTCATGGGTACATCTAGTGGAAACATTTGAGAAAGCCTTCAAGGTGGTTGCCCCCAGGCTCTGAAAATTCCTTCCCAGAAAGATTAGATTGGCACTTTCCCCATCCTCTTTCCTTAAAGCGATGAAGACCTTTTTCTTGGGTGTCCAAGGACTGATGGTTCAGGCAGGGATAGGCCTTTCACAATGTGCTAGATTTTGTATCTGCTATTTTTGTCACCCCATGTCCTGTTTTTATGGTTTTAACCAGTTTTAACTTTGTGATTGTTTAATCACTTTTTTTAATTTTGTAGTTTGTGAATTTTAAACTACATTATTTCAATCTTTTGCAAACTGCATTAAATCCCAAACAGGAGAAAATGTGGAATATGAATACACAAACCGTAGCAACTTACTTGGTGTAACAAGCAATCTGGTACCACTCCCAAAAGTTGGTGTCTCATAGCTATCAGGAGACCCACAGTGTTTCCTACCTTCACAAAAATGTACATGGGTTCATAGAGCATATGGGGGGGGGGGGTTCCCTGCTATATGCTCTATGAACCCATGTACATTTTTGTATATGGGTGAATCCACAGAAGGAAGGGTGATGAAGGGTGATGATATTTTGAGATTTTCAAGCAGGGGTGGGGAGATAATTTTGTTTGATTCATATCTGGTATGAATTTAGCCACCATTCTTCATATCTGGGAAGATCGTGAGATTGATTTTAAAAAATGTAGGTGAAACCAAAACCACAGATTTTGTCCATCAAAGCCAAAGTTTGGGTATTTAACTCAAGAGGAGGACAACCAAAATGGTGAAAGGTCTGGAAGCCATGCCTGTGAGATGCAGCTTAAGGAGCTGGGCATGTTTAGCTTGGAGAAGAGAAAGTTAAATGGTGACACAATAGCCATGTTTAAATATTTGAAGGGATGTCATATGGAGGCTGGAGTAAACGTGTTTTCTGCTGCTCCAGAGACTAGGACAGAGAGCAGTAGATTCAAGCCCCAACAAAAAAGATTCCACCTAAACATTAAAAACTATCTGATGGTAAGAGCTGTAAGACAGTGGGATATGTTGCCTTGAGTGTTACATAGAGTCTCCTACTTTGGAGGTTTTTAAACAGAGGCTGGATGGCCATCTGTCAAGAGCGCTTTCATTGTGTCTTTCTGCCTGGCAGGAGGTTGGACTGGATGTCCCTTGGGGTCTCTTCCAACTCTAGGATGCTATTATTCTGACTCTTTAAAGACATTGTTTGAACAACTGTGTATTCTAGTATGCTAGAGTCAAAGTAGGGTAGCCATCCATTTTTTTTCCTGAGACCACCAATGAATACCAGGTGTTGTAGGCTATATTTCAGAGGAAGGAGCTGGCATAACATCTCTGAGTGTTCTTTACTTAAGAAAATGCTGTAAAATGGGTGGGGTTGCTTGGATAAATTCATAAATGTTCTTCCTGAATACACCTTATAGCCTTTACACTCACAAAATATAATAATTCTGAAATTTAAACCTGCAAGTTCTTAAGTGTCTTGGATTCAAAACAAAATTATTTCTCACATACCAGGCATTACTGTCAAAGTTGTTCCACTTCCAAACATGACTTTCCAACTTGAAGAAGACCCACACAGTGATCACTCCAGTGACAAAAACCACTCTGGTGCACACATTCCTCATTTTGATACATGTCTTTTAAAGACAGAAAAATAACTCCCAAAGATTTCTCCTACAATTACTACTACAGGTTGAGTACACCTTACCTGGAATGCTTAGACTTTGGATTTCAGATTTTTTTTCAGATTTTGGAATATATGCATATGCATAATCAGATATCTTAAAATGGGATCCAAAACTAAACATGAGATTCATTTATGTTTCATATACACCTTATACACAAAGCCTGAAGGTAATTTTAAACACAATATCTTAATAAATTTGTGCATGAAACAAAGCTATATTGAACCATCAGAAAGCAAAGCTGTCATTATCTCAGCCACCCACATAGATAATTTCAGATTTTGGAATATTTTAGATTTTGGAATTCTGGATAATGGACACTCAACCTTATATGCATGGTCCCCTGAAGAAAATCTTACATCTCAGCAAATGTAATAAGGATGTGGAAAATGGATTTTCAATTTGCAGTATTCACTTGGTAATACAAGCATTCTTGTACCAGACCCAAAGGTTATCTGTAAGTTGTTATTGCTCACAGCAAAACAAGCCTTTACAAAAATTAGCCCACTTATTGATTTCCAGTAACTAAGGCTCAAACTACATGAGTTGCCATTCATTCAATTAATAAATGTATCTCCAACTTTTAAAAAAGTGAATAGCAGACAATGTGGGAGGGAGGATTCTAGACCAGAACCACAGCAGGTAGTTTCTACTTACCTTAAAAAAAAAACCTCTTCAGATATGGCATGCCTTATCTAGTTTGGTCTTTCAGGCAACCAAAAACCAATCTATTCATGCACTAGCCAGCAGGACAAACATCTCTCAATCTATCCTTCCAACAACTGGCATCTACACAAAATCAAGCAATTTGTCCTAACTCCTATTGACGAAAACATCTGCTCATGAATTTTATAAGAAACATAGACCCATAGAAAACAATTTAATAAGAGGTGATAGACAAATGAGTCCAGCACCCAAAGATCCCCAACACTGATCACATTGGGAAGACCCCAGGTTGAGAAAGGCTATCCCACATAGTAGGGAGAAAAAAAACACCAAATCACAAACTTCCAGGAGGGGTGTATCATTCTAAAAGTTAAGTACTCATAGAAAGACACATCTTCATATATGGCCACAGAGCAATCCATTTGAAATGTTGTTGTTGTGTGCCATCAAGTCATTTTTTACTTATGGCGATCCTAAAGTGAACCTATCACAGTGTTTCCTTGACTAGATTTGTTTAGAGGGAGTTTGCCATTGCCTCCCTCTGAGAATGTGTGACTTGCTCAAGATCATCCAATGGATTTCCATTGCCTTGTTGGAATTTTACCCCTGGGATGCATCTACACTGTAGAAATAATGCAGTTTGACACCACATTAACTGCCATGGATCTATCCTACAGAATCCTGGTATTTGTGATTTTGCAAGGCACTAGCACTCTTTAGCAAAGAAGGCTAAAGATGTTGTAAAACCACAAATCCCAGGGCTACAGCACTTATGAGTGGAATCAAATTGCATTAATCCTACAGTACAGATACACTCCTGGAGTTCTATTCCAATACTTAAACCACCACATCATGCTAGTTCTCACCATATCAAATTACTTCCCCTAAATCAAGTATGGGAAACCTGTGGTCCTCCAGATGTAGTTGGATGATAGTCCTCCAAAACCTTTGACAACATAGACAACATAAAGTGAATTGATGGGAGCTTCAGTTCAGTTCATCTAGAGGGCTGTAAATTGTACAGCCCTGAACTAAATATAACAGAACACTAAAACAACCATAATAAATACCCCAATTTTCTTCCACCAATCCTTTCTGCTCATCCCATAAGCATCCTGGAATTGTTTGGGAAATTGCCACTTCAGAAAGAAAACAAGCTCAGATTAACCTGAATAAAAATATAATTAGAAAATTACAGTACTTACTAGGTATTATGGTGAGCTTGGTTCCTTTTCCAAAAGTGACCTTATTGGTCCTCCACCATAATACCCACAATGACTCAAGTCACTGCAATATCTCCACACTGAAAGATACCCAAATGCACCATCCTACTAACAGGAGTCAAGCCTCTCA